CGCCGCTGTAGTATTGTATATAATGTGGTACTTGTATATATATGCGATAATATAAAGTCATTAGACACGCGTCCGACTACCCCAAAGCCCCCCAAAATACAGCCCACGTGAATAAATCACATCGATGTTGCACTTGCCTCCACGGGGTCGGTTATTAACCACCCTCGTCGTCGCTTATTTATCATTATATTATTATATATTATTATCATACGATTGACCGCGCTTTGCTTACCACAGATCGTGTGTGAATGTTCGATTGTACATGGTTTGAGTCGAATCGAATTTTAAAAATGTATAACGTTTAAGCGTAGCTATATATACCTAAATTATATCTTGAGGCGTTATTTTATAGTCTGAAAATTATATATATTCACATTAAAGTTCAGTCACTTTTTCCGAATTTATCAACATGATAATAATAAATAAATATTTAAATAACATATTATTTTGGTTTGTTTGCTTTTAACTTTTGTTTCGAATTAATGTTTCTTAAATACAAATCCTGGCATTTTAAAAATAATCATGCGAAAATGTGTATAACATATAAATTACGTATATATTTAAAAACCACGACTTAAATTACTTAATACCTTTTTTCAACGCTTTCCGTGTGCCACGGTTTATACAATTGTATATATTGTTATGTGTCATTTAAAATTAATCGTTTTTATTGGTTGTACCTATACCTGTACGGTGGAATGGTAAAAGTTTCAACAGCGCGAGATCACAAAAATAATTGTCTCGTTTTTATACTCCTATAGTTACAAAATCGGATACGTTATTTAATTAAACGAATTATCATAATTACGCTAAAATTAAAATCCCGAGTATAATACTATAAAACAATCTTACATATAAATAACTATTATGTACCTAATAAATATAGTATGTATCAAAATGAGTAAATGATCTCTAAAATGTAGTAACCATAGCTGTATATATAAGATTATCATAACTCATATATAAGTAATAAATAAATAAAGTAATAAATACCTATCAGGCACCTTCTACAAAATACGTTCCGATAAAATATTATCCATCCACATTTTGTCCACCGTTAACGCCGTTAACGGGTTATGAGAGTTAATTGAATTATTATAAAGAGAATTCTTCGTATAGAATTTATGAATGATTCGATCAGCCCGGCAATTACAATTTTTAAAATGGCTTATGATGTTTTAAAGAGCTCAAATTAATATATGTCTTAATAGACTAATTCAATAGTTATAATTATTTAATTTTAATATTAAGTTTATAAATATATATGGTTCAGTTCATCGGCCTTAGAAAGCCTGTTGTCCTATAGGAATATTCCCACTCAGTAGTGTATAACGACCATATTTAAAACTCTTAGGAGAGGACTTAAGCAATCTTCTTCCCACTATATATAATATAAAGCTTTATGGTACTTAGAATTTATGTTATAGGATGTCATTAATAATAAAAAATAATAAAAAATTGTATGAATTTATCTAATCAATTTTAAGTAAATGTCGTTTCCCCGCCACCAGGGCCGGATTATGGTCATAATTTAAGGGGGGCTATTACTTGTATTGAGGCCTTTTCACCTAAAACAATTTCCTTTTTTTCTTCTGATTTATTAATTTGTAATAAATATAAATTAAAATAAATATAGCATTGTTTTTAAATAAMATTTCCTTCTTATATTATATTATACATTTTTCGGCATATGCAATAAAAAAAAATATACACATATATTTTTAATCTTATATAATATTATGTTTGAAAAACTTTTTCCTGGATTTTTCCTGAGCAAATTTTCTTATAATATTTTCAAATGAAATATTCATAGTCAATTCACACTCTATTGAAAGAATAGATAGAGATGTCAGTCTTGATTCACCCATCATAMAACGATATTTATTTTTAATTATTGTTAGTGCAGAAAAAGATCGTTCACTTTCACAGTTAGTAACGGGTATACTTAAAAAAATTCGGAACGCTACATAAATATGTGGAAAAACGCCYGAGAGATTATCTTCAACAATCATCTGTAACATGTTAACCGGGTTTTTTATTAATTTATTATCTTCCTTGACTTTAACCATACCAATGAATTGTTTCAATTCGTCGTATAGACTTTCTTCTAGATCACGAGAATAAACTTTGACTAAATTATTTACGGATTTTTTCAATAAATTATCATCAATCACGTCCAAGYGAGTCAAAAATCCAAAAAGGTTTGTTATATTGTCATAAGCTGAGCTACGTTTTTTTAATTCGGTTTGCAATTTATCAATGATAACAAAAAAAGKGTTGACTCTAAATGTATCTCTACCTTTTAAACTCTCATGACCTGTAGTACCATCCGAATATTTTTGAATAATTTTACGTTTGTTTTTTCCTCCATTCGACCATTCTTTATTAACTGAGAGACTCAATATTTTTGCTTCATCTTCAATTGCGTCAAAATCATTTCTGAGTTCATCAACAAATGTTATCAACGATTGTAGCATACTATTACCAGTAACCATATCAATTTCAATTCTCTGTAAATAAACACTTGTAGCATTGAATCTGCCTAGAACACGTTTCCAAAAAATAGTCATAAAAGCTATTTCTAATTTTATTAACTTTTTCTTAATTGAATTGGCATCATGACGAGTGTCAGCATTTTCATTCATATCTTTAGAAATGTCAGATAACGTATTAAATATCTCATCATAATTACC